GCCGGTGTGCGCCCGTCGGTGCTTAGCCAACGCCGAACCATCGGCAAACGCCTTGCCGCAATCGGGACAGGCATGCCGGGGACCGGCGTGAGCCCGTTGGTGCTTATGGAAGTGTAGGGTGCTGTTGAAGCTCTTCCCGCAGTCGGCGCAGATGTGGGGTTGCCCGCCGGCGTGGGTACGTTGATGCCGGTAGAGGTGGGAGGTCCGGCCGAAACGTTTGCCGCAGTCCCCGCATTGGTAGGGTCGTTCGCCGGTATGGATGCGTTGGTGTCGTTCCCAATGGGAGCTCCAGGAAAAACTCTTCCCGCAATCACCGCAACGGTACGGTTTCTCACCGCCGCCGTGGAGGCTACGCCGATGCCGGACGTATTGGGCGCGGGCGGCAAAGGCTTTACCGCACTCTTCGCCCCGGAAAGGACCATCACCTTGAGCAGACGTATTGGGCGCGGGCGCCAAAGGCTTTACCGCACTCTTCGCACCGGAAAGGACCATCACCTAGATGAAGGCGTTGGTGTTTGACCAACGCCGGCCCATCGCCAAAACTTTTCCGGCACAGGGTGCACTTGTAGGGTCGTTGGCCGGTGTGGGTGCGTTGGTGCCGGTCAAAATGGAGGGTGCTACCAAAACTACGCCCGCAATAGGTGCAGATGTAAGAGCGACCGCCGGCGTGGGTGCGTTGGTGCCGGTAGAGGTGGGAGCTACGGCTAAAACGCTTACCGCATTCGGGGCCACGGTAGGGCTTCTCACCGGTATGGACACGTTGGTGCCGGTCGAAATGGGAGCTCCAACTGAAGCTCTTACCGCAGTGGCCGCACTGGAAGGGCAAGCGACCGGTGTGCAACCGTTGGTGGGTCACCAGCTCCTTGTTACGCCGAAAACTCTTGCCGCACTCCTCGCATTTATACGGCAAGCCGCGGGGCCGCGCCGGCGGAGCCGGCGGACCTTGCCGTTCGGCAGCGTGAGCCCGTTGGTGCCGGTAGAGGTTGGAGCTGACGTTGAAGCTCTTGCCGCAGTGGAGGCAGAGGAAGGGTTTCTCGCCGGTGTGGGTGCGCCGGTGCTTGCTGAAGTGGGAGCTGCAGCTGAAGCTCTTGCCGCATTCCCCGCACTCGTAGCTCTTCTGCAACACGATGATGCTCTTGAAGTTGGAGAAGGCGCCGGCTCCCGC